CGTATGTAAATACCTTTTCATCACTCCCGGAATTATTTTTTCTTCACAAATCTAAGGACGACAACAAAGTGTGTAAACGTATTATAGTCTTGATAATATTTTACATTGCATTCCTCTAAGTATATTTGTTTTTTAGACGTTTTATACATGTAGTTGAAATCCCAGTTACAAAACACAGATTAAAAATATTTGTCATATTTTGCGGTTCGGATCGGAATATCCGTCCCGGCGGGTGACCGAGGGACGGATATTCCGATCCGAACTGCAAACATATGTCAGATATTTTTTCTTGCATATTCTACCATATTGCATTATATTTAAAATTCTTTATCTTTATTTTCAATGAAAATTTATACCATTACAACCGTAACCGTATCAGCGTATGAATTACAAAATCATTCATAACGGTAAATGACGTCATCTTTATCGTGCCATTGTACAGCACGTGACTCATCTGGAGCCCCCATGCCAGATGGAATTTCCGACATGGGTAAAACTAACGGAAACGCCAGTCTGATATGCAAGAAATAGTTAATCTAATGCATTGATACTCATTGCTATTAATCACATTTGCGTATACAAAAACACAATAAATTTTCTTGCATGATGTTTTCGTTAGTTTTACCTATATCGGAAATTTCATCTACCATTGGGTGTCAGGTAAGTTGCGTGAATACAAAGGCGTCATTTTAGCCGTTTTATGAATGAATCCCGTTTAAATGACGTCATTTCGGTGTATTTAGGAATAAAACTGCATGCATATGATGATGTAATTAAACAGTTATGAATGGAGTTGTTAGTTCATACCATAATCACCTCGCGCCGGATATTTTGATCTGATATGACAGATAGTATTAATTCATTATTAATCTATATCTGCAGTGGAGTTGTATGCCTTTCAAAACATAAACAATGCCTTTTCCAGGCTAAATAATTGTAGCACTGATAAAATTTGAATAAGGTAATTAATGTGAATGGTATTTGACAACATAACCCATACTTCACAGCTGTACTTTTTGTTACTGTAATACGACAAAATTATGGTTCATGGGTAGAATGGCGATACACTGATCGTCGTATTTTTCCAACAAATCCCATCTGTCGGTGTTAGATTTCCCTGAATGATATAACTTTAAAGTCTTTATTCATTATAGATAACATCAAAGTTTAAGAATATATATGATTACTCAAAGGTTAACGGAACTCGTACATCAATTTGATAAGGCCATTTGCACAGTTTTCAGCCATTAATCATTTAATGCTTTGTTGGGGTTTTTATCTTAATTTGTTGAAATAATCAATTATAATATAAAATATCTTTGAAAAGGAACATCTGTCACAAATACATGTATTGGGAAAATAAATTGTTTCATTCACAAATGTACGGTAAAATTTAAAATTACTTCTCAAATGCAGATGCAAGAGCGACATGTCTTGCTTCCTTAGCTTATTGCTGTAATAGATACTTTTATATAGGAATCGGGTGATATACCATGCCTGGTTACACAGAGCAGCAATTACCTCTAGCATTAAACATTTTAACAATTTAAAAAAGGTTAATTCACTATAGAAATACTTGCAAACCATTTATATGCAGGATCATTTTCAAATTCCTCTGTCGAGTTAATGTATTGATATATAATTTTATTAATTTCTATAAAATTTGTGTTCATTTTACACTTATTAACAATGTCCAGGATGAAATAACATAATATCAATAAATTACTGTGTGATGTTTATTCCTATCATTGAAACCTCTTTAACATTGCTTTGTTGTATCACGGTTTAGTACAACTATTATTGTCATTTTCGTTATGTTTGTATACAGAAAATCTTAGCCGAATTGTATTTATAGTTTAGACGTTGTATACATGCAGTTGAAATATCGGTTATGAAATACATGTGTACTAATGCATTTTACTGTTACTGCTAGATTACATATTTTAATGAATAATTTTACATGGGGGTACCAGATGAGTGGCATGCTATACAAAAGCGTCGTTTTAGCGCTTTTTGTGTAAGAGTCGTGTTAAAAGACGTCATTGGGGCGTATTCAAAACTGAAATTGAGTGCCTATGATGATGTCATTTCACAATTTTAAATGAAGTTGAAAAACCATACCCTTTTGTAAAATAGAGAAAAATGGAATCCCTTAAGAAAGTCTAAAACTGCAAAATTAAAATAGTGCAGGCTAGGTTTGATTGATCCTATTCCTGGACAAAATGGAAATTGCTAGATACTGTCCACGCCTCGTAGCACCGGCTTATGCAGTTTTTTACCGGTACAATTTTGCATTTAGAATCATCTACATATGTGTTAATACGGGTGGTAACTCGTATGCGCCCAATGGGCGAATCCACTTGGGACAGATATTCCGATCCAATATGACAGATATATATTTATCTAACTGTATTGTATAGTTGACAGGTGAAAGTCAAAATAATTCCTTTTAATATTATAATTTACTTCCGCATGACTGATACAATTTACGTTGACTTTGGAAATGTCTGTATATATCCATCAGAATTTACCTGTAACGTACAATTTATAAAAAGCGTGGGAAACTTTTTATGTTAGGCATATTTATATCTTTCGTAACATTTGCCAATGTTAAATAGTCAATCATCATTATAAAAATCAATCTTTTGAAATAAATAGTCAATTCAGCTCAATTGCTCAATGAAACTATAATCATGTCACTAAAAATCTATAAATGAGGTCAAATTGCATGCATTTTTAAATAAATACATAGGTTATCCCATGTCAAACATTTACGATAAACACTGATTTCTGTTAAACTTTCACCAAATTTATGTTAATGATAAACGGACATTTTCAGTTCAAAATACTACCAATAATTGAAAATAAATTTATATTAAGTAATACATTTGGATGTTGAAAAATATTCGTGCATAACAAAAAGAATGAAGCACATGCTTTTGTTTTGAATAAGTTGTATGTAATAATGTTCAAACAAAGGACATTAAATTTGCCAACAAGACAAATGCCTCATAGCTGTATTTTTAATTTTTATGTTCCAGGAAAAATTATGGAACATGGAAATAATGGCTAATGACAGAAATAGCCTTTATGGAAGCAATGAGCTATGTGATTCATTAGTTGACGGTATTTCTCCAACAACTCCCATCCGTCCGAGTAAAATTTCCCTGAATGATATAACTTTTAAGTCTTTATTCATTATAGATACCATCAAAATTACTGACTATATATGAATGCTCAAAGTTTTAAGAATTTAGTACATCAATTAAATATGGTAATTTCTACAGTTCTGTTTTCAGCCATTTATCATTTAATGTTCTGTTGGGGTTTATTTTTGTTTTTTTATTTATTAATTATTTTTTTTTTTTTTTTTTTTTTGCTTTATTTTCTTGTATTGGTAGAAATAACCAATTGTATAAAATATCTTTATAAAGAGCATCTGTCACAAATATATTTATTGGAAAAATAAAAGGCTTCAAAATTTATTACTTATTTCTTTAATTCAGACAGTAAATTTAACATGAAAATTTGATACACGAAATACGATTTTCTTTTTAAAAGCTCAACGCAGACAAATGTTGAAACAAGAAATGTGTTCCTAGACAAACTATAAACAGAACTTGTCTCAAAATGTTTAGGAGAATAACACCGAATGTATGAAAATTGAAAATAAAACATGTTTAAGAACCATTTAATATATATAATCCTAAAAAATACATACACTTATTGCTTACAAGAAAGTAGTCAATGAGAACATCTAACGTTTTGTTTTTTGCATGAATTAATAAAATAGAAATATTCAATTCTGTATAGATCACTAAAAAGGAACATCTGTTACAAAAATAACTTCATGAATAAATGTACAGCAACATTATCACTGTAATTTTCACGTGACAATTTTTATAACCAAAAAAAAAATTTTTGAAAGTGTCTGAAGATTGAATGATACTCAAGAAAATGAAATGTATGCTATAGAACCATTTAAATGTATTTTGGAAAATTATACATAACAAATGCTCGTTCCTAGAATATAAACGGGTTGGTTTAAAAAAGTAAAGTGTTTTTAAAGCATAAAATGTGAAGTTGCTCAGCAAAATTCAAATAAAAAGTCGAACTCTTACAGATCAGTTAATAATATAAATACATACACTAAATTACATGTAAAAACAACCCGTATTTTATCAATTAATTATTTTACTTCTTATGGTTTCAAGCTTTGAAGTTCTTGTGTTTTGAAATAGATTACTATCTGGACGTTTATTACATATATTATAAAAGATATCGTTGTTTATAGTGTTGTTTGTTGTTGTTGTTTTTCTTGTTTCTGAATTAATTAGTTGTTTAGTATCAAACGATAAATAGATATAAATATACATTGACGTCTATGAAAATTGATTATATTTTAAGTGGTGTTTTCAAAATAACTACCCTATAAAACTTATGATAATTTCAATGTGTTTCATTTAAAATTTAGATACAATTATAAACTGTTATAGCTTGTAATTTCATCTGTAGAATGTCGTCTGCAAAAACTACAATAATTGTTACATACAGATGAAAAAAACACTTACGTTTCAGTTCTAACTTTGAGAAAAATATCTTCAAAAGTTATCTTATGATTGGCTGTACATTTCCAATGAATTCATCCTTTTGTATGGTTTTAACTTAACATGCTAAGGAATCCTGTTGATCCGACAGCAGTTTTATCCGAACATCCGTGTGTTCCACGAATACCCCATGTGTCACTAATAACCCTTGTGCCACGTCGTGTTTTGTAAATATCAGCGCATGTGTAAAGGAAAATATGCTTACCAATATTAAAATTGTGTTTTCAAAAAATATTATTTATTGATAAACAATCTCAGAAAAAAATATTTTTAGTTTCTTTTTATAAACCGAGCAAATGAGATAAATATTTAATTTACGAACATCATAAAAGATAACATAAGGTGCCATTTTTTCAAATGTATATATGTATATAAATGCATATCGCGACATTCACATTTTTTCAAGCTTTTAAAGTGTTACATCCTGGAAGGAGATAAGGCAATTGAAGAATTAAAGGAATTATAACGAAAACTCCTAAGTGTGCTTGAATTACACTGTCATGTTTAGATTAAGTGAAGTCATTTCTCATGATAGAATGTTTCATTTCCTTATTTTGTTTACTATCCGATCGAAGTTTCGTAGTCGTAGTTAGCAATAAATTAAAATTACTTTGGTACGATGTGTATTGACTAAAAGGAATCGCATAATAAAACACAATAGTTATCGAAGTTTTACGATTTATATAGTACTGGAGATGATTGACTCTACAGTAATGTTGTGCGACTCGACTGACTCCCTCTTGTAGATCTCAACTTTAGTAACATTTCCCTTCTTGAGCTGTAAGTGCTTTTCCTACAATGAAGTAAATGCAGCAGAGTTTCTTTAAAGTTGTTCCCCATTGCAATATACAGAAAGAAATTACAACTAAACGTCGTATAATACCACAGTAATGTTAGTTCTTGGAGAAAGAAAAACCGAGGGGTAACAGTGTCATGGTTTGATGTTGCAGACACTATCAGATTATGTAGTCGTATTATATGTGACGGGAGGTTCAGTAACAAAAACATTGAAGAGACTAGCAATAACCGTTTAGTCACACGTAAGTTCAATCCTCGTCTCGAATGTTTTAAGCCGTTTCTTTTCAACCCTTGGATAATGGGCCGTTGTGAATCTCTATGTTCATCATGACCACTTCCGCCCTCATTAGCATCATCTTTTCTCCTATTTATACTTGTATGTGTGTCTGTTCGAGAAACCGAAACTAAAGGCACTTGTTCCTTACGCCTAGGTTGGCAATTAAAAACAGCACGCACTATTAACGTGTTAAGAATTGTAATGACAATAAATGGAATAACCATTGTAACGAACGTGTCAATCCAAACCACAATGTTCAAAAACCTATAATGTTCAGGCTTAAATAAGCATTTCAAAGAATCATCCCATTGCTGCATTTCAAGTGTCCAGAAACTAAATTGGTACAAAACAGAGCCAATACACGTTAAAACGGCCACAATTATTTTCTGGCGACGGGCATTACACATCAATTGACGACGAAGTGGGAAATAAATGGCAAAGAAACGTTCGCATGTAAATCCCACTATAAACCAAACACTGAGAAAACTTGTCACATATGTGATAAATATAAGTAGTTGGCATGCAAAGTCAATTGTAAGGAATGCTTGGCACTCGCCATCGATCCACGTTACTAATAATCCAACTAAGAAAGTGTTGTCAACAACTGCCAGAGATGCCTGGAATACTGAGCAAGGTGATTTCCGCATTCGTTTCGACATGAACACTAAAAGAGACAGCGTATTTCCTACAAGTCCAACAATTGATATAACGGGAATCAAAACATTTCTCGTAATTTGAGCCGCATTAATCCATGAAGATTGATCATTGTCGGATATATTTTGTCCGTTGTAACTATAATTATCACTATTGTTCTCATGATTAAATGCATTAAATTCCATATTTAAAGATCACTATGAACAATCATCACCGATATCACCTCTGTGCTGCATTCGTATCTCCATTCAATAAATGCAATGGAATAAACGACCATGTGTTGCTTTTTTTATTTGCTGCACATTAATTCTCTTCTCACAATTTCGCAATTATTTACGATGTCATGGTGCGAACAGATTGCTTCAATAAACACTGATGGAGTCTAGACATGACCGTTAACGCTCTTTCACTAAAACTACTGCCTCTGCGTTACTTTATTTATAACATATAATTACTTCAATATCCGAAGAAAGTACATCTTTGAATAGCAACTACCTTGTATTGATTACATTTGCATTTCTCTGACGGATAAAAAACATATTGATACAATCTGTGACATTCATGATAAGAAAAGTAGTGCGATATTTTTTTCTCACATAAAGGCATGAACAAAAATACCATGTATGCTAAGCATGTAAACATGGTTGACATCACTTCTCCGAGAATATTTAATCCCCCCTCGGTGTATCTAAATAATCGTATTGGCATTGGTAATCGTTCGAGGCCTAAATGCTGCTCTTAAAGTAACACTGCTAATTACAGCGTAATACCGACTGTTTTAAACGCAACATGTCGCAACAAATAGTGTCAAAGTTATAAGTGACATACATGTGTCAAACTTGTATCTGTTCAAACACTGTGACATATGTTAAAAAAAAAACGTCGGCAAGAGTTTTCATAGTTGATTTAACTTATTTTAAGATAAACGCTCTCGCGCGCTTTTTCCCTCGATACATGTACGTCATTGAGAGGCACTAATGGCAGAAGATTTTTAATAGAAATTGGGAGTGGGAAAAACGAAATTTGTATTCTGTAGAGCAGCTGCTGATGTCCTGACTGAAGCCGGGGGAAGTGGCCCTCCAGGATAGGAAGAAACAACAAGGAATAAGAAATAGGATGCATGGGTGTCTAGTAGGCAATGGCGGCTTGAAAGGCAGATGCTTTCACAGGCAACAATATGACCTTATAATTATTTCTCTGGTGACTTTAATTTTAGGTATTCCATGACTACTGTTGCTGTACAATGGCTTACCTACTTTCTGATCAAAATTAATCTCTTTTTTTTAAAACACGTTGGTAAATTATAACTATTGTTTGCTTAAAAAGGAGCTTGACCACTGACATGTCCGGGGTCCGTACGCTATTGATAAAACTACTGTTTGTGCCTTGGCTGACGGATGGATTCCCATTTAACTTAGGCTATAGATAGATATGCTAATTTGCTTTTTAAATGTAAATGGATAGGTAGTTCTTGAATGTAAGTTGTCAGAGTTTTGAACCTTGTCATATTTTGTGCACGTGATGTATCGCCATTTCATTGAAACGCACTATGTAAAAAATAATAAAATGGTTTCAAAGGAAAAAATAAATATAAATATAGATTCCGAACATTTATTTAAGTAAAAAAATAGTTTTTGCACGAAACTCTAGCTGTAAATCATGAACGTTTTACCTTTTTAACTTTGTTTACACTCTAAACCCTATAACAGTTATCAAGGTATTGTATTGTTTAACAGGTTTGTGTGATTTTCATAGAAATCTATTTCATAATACTATTTATTTCAATTTCTGTCCATTTTTGTGTTTCTGACGCTATTTTTGCTTTAACAAACTTCTGACCTTCCATGCAATGTTGCGGAAAACACATAACTTCTACAGTTACTGTCGTGTGCACTTGTTCCATACCAACCACATCCACCTTAGACAGCCCTTAGACTTCTTTGGAGTTTAAACAATACATGTATTTCATTTATTCCCTCTTTATATATTTTTAACTTTGCTAGACTCCTTAGATTTAAATACAAAATTGTTCTATTCTTATTTTTATTTTTTCCCTTATTTTGCCCAAACGATTTTTTGTTTTAATTTCGCCAGTCCCCTTGAAAATATCAAACAAAATCCATCTATCAATACAGTTTATTTATTCATTTATTTGTATTTATTAACCATGCTGGACTCCTTTGAATCGTTTATTAAAACAGAGGATATTTGTTTGCTTCGCAAGTAGGATCGAAATATATTTTACAGAGTGAACATCAGATGAATTGTCTTCCTTTTCTAATTCTACCCCATTTGTGTTTCTGATATCAGCATGAAATTTCATGTATATATCATACACAAGAGTGTTAACTCTCCCAATCAGGATTTTATTGTTATTTCCCTTTCGTATTCATCATGCATATTTTTGTCTTGAACATGACTCAAAAAGGATATATGTGAGGAAAATTTGAATAGATAGTGAGAAGGCGTGCATTTCATATGAATCTATCACGCAGTCTCTGGCTTCTGCTTAATTTGACGTAGGACCTATTTTCTATTGAAGAGAAGATTTTTGTGATAGGATTGAACTAGTGTGGATTCGTCGTTTTTTATGAGAAAGGCAGAAGTATCTTCTACATCAACGTAACCTTTTTATCATATATATATTTCACGTACTTTCTCACTTCATCAATCTCCGGTGATGGAAATAAAATAATTACGATAGTAACGTAATACAGGGTCATATTTACATGCAAAACTTCTTTCCGTCATGACAAGACTAATAAAGTCAATACCTTTGTCGGTTTTATAGGGAATAAATCAATGTGATTGATGATTAACTTTATTCTGGATATTTTGCCCACGTACTAGTATATAGAAGAAGATGTGTGGACAAGTATAATATATTTTTTTAGAGGCACAGAGGAGATATTGTTTAATTTCTATAGAGAGGGCAGATGTGATATATATAACGTTTTAATAATGGCTTAAAAGAATACATCAAGATGTTTTCCACCTGAATGAAGTAGAGATGAATGTGAAATTACATGCCATAAAAGCAGCAAAAAATAAAGGAAGAATAATTTTGACTTCCATACAAAATACTTAATCACTATATTTGTACGCATTGCCAAAATAAGCAACAGAAGCAAGAGAGGCTTCGTGTAATTGACCAATGAATAACTTTTTGAAAACTTTAAGATGAGTCGAAAACATTTTCTTTCAAAATTGAGTAATTAGCATAAAAGTATAATGGACCTTTAACTTTCGATATGTTTCTTTTTATAACAGTAGACCTAATCAGAAAGAATAGTAATGCAAGCACAATCTATATGAGTTTTGTATCTCATCTTTATCACCACTTTGATTTACCTAAAAAATGTGTTTTTCTAATTTTTAACTTTCCAACTGGCTGGTTAGCCATATTTCTTTAATCGTTCTTACATTCTATTTTCACTGTATAATTTATTCCCAAAATTACCTAGGATATGCAACATTGTGTCAATTACCAAAATGTTCAATTGGTCAAACTAAATGCCAACTAAAGAAAGCATCTTACTTTTCCTATATAAGGAGTAAATTTCACTAACAATATATGTAACAATATATGTACATACCATACAAGCAAGCAAAGTCAAGGTTAACGCCTGGTGATAAAACTAACTGCTGAATAATATAACTAAGTTGAATAATATAACTAAATAATGTGTAGGTGCACTATTTCTTTTTTAAAGGTTGTCTCCCTTTACTTTGTGATATAACAGTTCAAACTAAAGCCCCACTCTTGTTCACATGGTAGACCAGACAATGTGACACTTTATTGGTATAATGAATATTGCATAGCAATTGACCACTTGTAAAGTCATGTATTGATTAATTGTTGTAAGAATTTTGTTAACTGTTGGAATATATTCATTATGTAAAAAAATAATTCAGACTAATCAGCTTGTTGAGCGATGCTTGAAATTTCAAATGCTGATTAGAAATCATTTATATTACCTTATATTTATGTTATTGTATCCTCTGTTTTAATACGCAGTTTCGATAAGTCTATAGACTCGTTTTCACGATTAAATAAAGGTTGCCTCCCTTTAGCTTATAATATACCAATTACAGTGTTGAGTTCAAACTACGCAAACGTCTCGCCCTTGTGCACATGGTGTGCACTTCTAGTGTACCAGACCAAATGACCTGAAAGGGTGACACTCTATTGGTATAATGGATATTGCAATAACTATTGACCACAGTTAAAGTCATGTATTGATTAACTGTTGTAAGAATTTTATCAACTGTTGGAATATATTCATAATGTAAAAAAATAATTATAAATAATTAGTTTAGATATTTCAGCGGTTATGATGAAATTGCTTGAAATTTTAAATGTTGATTAGAAATCATTTATTTATGAATGTAAATATCTTATATTTATGTAATTATTTTCTTCTGTTTTAAGGCACAGTTTCGATAAATCTATAGACACGTTTTCACGATTTTCATAAGTAATGTATTTTTGAAATGAGATCAGCATTGACGAATATTATTTCTCATAAGGTACACACACACACACACACTCATGGTTAAACTGCTTTGAGAACTTTAATTTTTTGAATGACAATATTAAACCATTATTACATTTTTCCTTTATATTGTTTAAGTGTTTTCAAATTATTGTTTTCATTTTCATTTTAGCCCATTGGGCTGGATGTATACTAGTGTTCATGTATTGTATGTTCATTGTTTTGTATGTTTTCATTTGACACATTAATAAAATATGTGTTTACTTCATTATTTAAAATGAAAATATGTCCTTACTTATTTGATGTATTTTCTTTACAAAGGTAACCATGATACATCGTATATGTAGAAAATATTCTGAATGACTGTCAATGAAATTATCCTATTTTGGCTTACTGGGGAAAGTTTCAACGTGTTGGTAGGGAAAGTTTCAACGTGTTGGCTTATTTTCACGACCATAAATAAAATTGTCATTACTAAGTACAGATAAGAATATTGATCTGATATAAATCTTTATTTACATTAAGATATTGGAAACAGTGACTTTTACATTGCATAATAATATAAGTATATTTATTACATTTACATAACTAACGACTCTGAGAGTAGCAATTTTGTGGTGAACAATATATTACTTACAAAATGAAGGCATAGACCTTTTAACAATACGAATTTTTCATAGTAACGGATGATGCATTTCGCGCATGCGCATTTTGTGAAGGACAAAAACGCAATGACGTGATTTCAAGTTATGTCACCCGGAAAAAGTAACGCTAAACCTGCTGAAACCAAAAGTGACTAGCTCTGAATTTTGCCAACAGCAAAAGATGAAGAGTCAGTCCAGACTCTTTAAGTGTTTGTAGCCTTATTTTTGTATTTTGCAAATGAAAACCCGTTAGAATTCAGAGGGATTATTGCAAATTCAAAGAGCCATTTCATCACACAAATTAAGTGGGT